GCCGAACAGCTTCTCTCTGACTGATGCGGATTGAGGCACCTGCGCACCTGCGGGTCCTTTAGAGCCAGAGGCCGCACAGGTGCGTTTTTACCTGGTGTGAGGCGTTCACTGGGATCGGGAGAAATAAGTTCCTGATTATGGGACAGATACAACTGCACAAACTGCTGCTACACCAAATTAATCATTCAAAACCACCGGGGGATCTAATTCATTGGTGCTCTTGTTAATAAACTAGAACCTGTAATGGTGTGTTTGCTTGACTCGTGATAATGTTCCGCACTATAAGGTAACAGAAGATCTCCTGGTGTCTCCCGGAGTCGAATCTGTAACTGGTGTTAAATTCAACTTCCCGTGAATCAGACAGAACTGAAGTCGCCTCTTAAATGAGAATTAAAAACGTCACCAACAAACTCAAGCAAGTCCAGTGGCTCATGTACAGCTGTGTACAACCTCTGGAGATATGAGAACATTATACAGAGTAATGTATATCAAGTGTGTGGACATATTATCATAGTTTATTGGTATTTTTAGAATATTTACTATTTCCTTGTGTTCATATACGTGTGTGATAATAACAGCAGTGATAACAGGCCTCAGCAGTGAGAGCTACACACAATGTTACACGCTTTTAAAAAAAAGCTGTAACATTTGATTAATTGAGACTGATTGACGTCAAATCAGCTTCCAAATAAACAATTAAACACATTTTTGTGATGACTGAGTCAGATTTTATTGAAGCCCTGAAATTACTGCTGTTGTTACGTCTTTGAATTGACTATTCTTATTTAATCCTTGTATTTGTTTGTAAATTCACACTGTACTTTATTATAATTATCATTTTAATCATGGTTATTATCACTATTGCCATTTTATTTTTCCAACAATGCATCTTTCCTTGAAACTGTTTTTCACACGACTCTACCTGCGGAGACGTTTGACAATAAGCCTCTTGAATCTCAAAAACACTCATTAAAAGACGACACCGTTATTTGTGAGTTTGCACAGTGGGCATCGAGCGGCATCAACGATAAGAGTCGTGAAAACAAATGTGCAACATCAACGTAAGGAGATATAAACTCAAACACTCAGGACAGGAACATTAAAACGTGATGAAATCGCACGTACAGATCAAGTGCTGCACAGTTCACATGTTAAAACACGGTTAATTCAAGTTGAATATACTCGCGAGTGGATATCTGACCTGCGAATCAACGTGTAAAGGATCAAACACCGAATGTTGGTTAATTCTCCGGCGGCAAAAAAGTATTGTCAGAAGTGGGATTCGAACCCACGCCTCCATTCGGAGACCAGAAGTCCCGTTGGTACCGGAAGGTGTGAACCTTGAGTCTGGCGCCTTAGACCGCTCGGCCATCCTGACAACTGTATCAGAGCGGAGGAGAACTCGCTGCTTAACCATAGCGACACGAGGCATCGAACTGACGACGTTAGCGGAGACATCACACGAAGACGGGTTCGTTATTTAACCGGAAGACGTTTTTCCACGCGTGTTTTTGACGCGTTTATCTTCCACAAACCGTTCGTGTCACGTCGCAGTTTCGCTTCGTTGGTTCGATCTTCGGATCCGAAGACTTTGCACGTGGTCAGGGGCTGTTTTGAGATCACCAGGGGGCGCTGCTGCCCGGAGGACAGCACGAACACTGCGATAATTCAAAACAACCAGCAAAGACGTTAAAATGTACCGCAAAGACACACGACACTCGTTGAAATGGACGCAGAATGAAGTGATTCTGTTCGGTGGACTGATCTTCTGCGTCATTTCACCTCGTTGCACTGACTGGCAACAGGGGGCGCCACTGCAAAACACGTGGTCCTTGTTTGCCAAATTAACACCCGACGAAGAAGTAAGACAACAATGCAAATCTTAGGAGCGACGCCCCTTTACATTATATTTATAAAGAATATTTTTAAGTAAAGTAAAATAAACTGTTTACAACCAGAGAGCGATCTGCACGAGCCTCGAATGGGAGCAGTTGCCATGGTTACACGAATTAAACAATTTAAAAATCCAACAAAACGAAAAGAACACGGTGCTTCTATTTTTTTCAACCAGCAGAGGGCGCTGCTGCTCCTGTGGTTCAGTAGACAGGACACGAAGTGACGTGAAAGAAAAATGAAAATAGCAATAATATCATAATGATAATATAATATATAATAATATCATAATGATAATATAATGTATAATAATATCAGTCAACAGAAACTTAATTGTCAATTCTGTCCCATGCACAGGACATAGAAGTGTTTGTCCCTGGTGTCAACATGTAAGTACACATACAACACATATAAGTATAACAACATATGAGTAACAAAACTCAGTAAAATGTACGATGTAAATACACTAAATCAAAAGATAATGAAATTGCATCTCACAGTTCACAGTTTAAATGACGACATGTCCAAGACAACGGAGTTAACGACAAAGTTAATACAAGTTTTGTAAATATGTAAAATAAAGACTGAAATCTTTAATTGACAAAGTAAATGACACAGTGAGGTGAGAACTGCAGGAGTCGGGACCGATGACACTGACATGAACCTCACTGGTCAGCTGATCCACCTCTGATCATGTGACATCAGAGATGAAACTTCCTCTGGTTGTAAAAGTATTGTCAGAAGTGGGGTTCGAACCCACGCCTCCATTCGGAGACCAGAAGTCCCGGA